CCCCAAAACCCCAAAACCCCAAAACCCCGCTTATATCTTTAATTGGGTGAATCTTTTAAACTGAAAATAATAAACATTAATTTTTGATGAGTTTAAATCAAAACCAGAAACTGACCAAAAGATAGGAGAGGGAGCAGCTCAAAGTAGAGGTTGAGTCTTTTATTAAAAAATTCAAAGAGATAGGAAATGTATCATAAATAAGTTTAAACCTTTTTTTAGGATAACATTAGGCAGAATTGCTGGGCATATTAGGAGAAATGCTAGTAGATTCTGCAATAAGGAGCAAGAATAGCTAAATTAGAGAATGGATTCGTACTGGCTAGCTAGATCATTAAAACCTTCGGCAAAATCTATGAGTAAAGATCAAAATATTAAATAACTAAATAGTTGCTAAGTTGATGAAATTCATGAAGATTCCAAGAAGTTGATTCACTCGATGTCCATGATGATGGCAAAAGAATCCAACAAGGTAGACAGTCCTCTTATCAATAAAGGTAGAAAATCTGCATTATCTCCTGCAATGTAATAACTTGGCAAAGTGTTCGCTTAAAATAATGATGATAATCCCATCTAAATATTGGCTAAGCTTGAACAACTAGAGAAAAAGAAAGTTGGAATGAAGACACTCGTCGACTCAAGTAAAATTGACTTAACTGAATATGAAATGAACGAGTTCAGCAATGTTGAGCACTAGATGAGAATTCAACATAAGATAAATGAAAATCACTTGACTATATTTAGCGATGAGCCCACTAACATATTAAAACTCTGACCTAAAATCAATGGTGTCCTGGATAATGCTTAGAAAAATTAATAAATGAGTAAGTAGGAAATAGGCAACAGAGAAGAGTTCGAATTCCAAATGAGGTTCTTAGGTGCATCTATACAAACTCCTCTCTCTCATTCTCTTAATGAGATCAGGTATTTCTTAAAATAGGAAAAGCCAATGCTAATTAAAAATGAGTGTAGATCATCAATGAATACAGTCACTGACAAGTAAATACAACAAGAGTAAAACTATATTGAAGAGGAAATGAGCTTAATCTTTAATAACAATAACTTCTCTATGCCCCAATCTCCTTCAAAGGCCTTTAATGGAGATCACTCGTTCGAATGCTCATAAGTTAATAGTCCAAGATTATCTATGTTTGAAGATCAGGGTTTAGACGATATTATTAAGGGAAGGAATTAAAGTGACTAAAATGACGATCAAGTCCCGCTAGCTAGACGAGTAAGCCACTAGCATGACTTTGGCAAGATAACTGATGAAAAAATTGACAACTTTTTCAGTATGTTGAAGCCGAAATTGTCATTTTATCACAGATCCAGCAAGAAAGCAACTCCAAGTTCGAGAAAGTCAGGACTAACAACTGCAACTGGGGAAAAGAGAAGTTATAATGTATGTAGTATGCCTATTTTAGAGATTGACAGTGCCAGTTATTCAAGTCAATAGGAGAACAAAGAGCAGCTGTAAGTATTCCAGTCATAGCTTAGTTTATCTGAACTTCAATAAAATCACTATAAACATGCTTAATACAATGAAACAGATGACTTGATAATGATAGATGAAATCGATTATCTTTAATATACAAACTAAGAAGACAAAGTTCATACTGACTGCTAATAAAATATAAAGGAAGTGCCGCCTTAAATTGACTTCTATGATTAAGATATTGAAATGTTTGAAATTAAGGGTAATCATAAGACCTCTAAAAAGAAAAAGTTGTTCGAAAAAGTTGATGAGCTCATAGTAGATCTTACCGATGACATGGATGACTACGACAACAAGTATATTACTTCTCAACTGCAGATTATACTACAATCTATGAATCTACCTCCGCTAACTAAAGAAGCGCTTGAGAAGATGAAATCTCTGACCTCAATCAAAGACTTGAAAAACTAAATCTGGGCTCATATCACATAAGAGTTGCTTGATGAGAAGAATAAAAGAATACCTGTCTCAGAGATATTCGGTGATCAGATGCAGAGGTTCAAGGGATAGAATCTCTCTCATTAAATGGCTTTTGTAGGTTTGCTTCATGTCATTGCTGAGTAGGATTTAACTCTATATTAAAGCAATTCCAAGAATAATAATGAAAATGAAGAATTGTTTGTTCAAAAATTCTGAAGCATGTCTGATTTGATTATAATGTTGATTATATTTTGATTAAATTCATTAGTCCACTTATAGAGTAGTTTGGGGTTTTGGGGTTTTGGGGTTTTGGGG